CCCCCTTTTTTTTTTTTTTTGATTCTCTGGTATGTTGCATGGCTCTATGGTGGGAATAAAAAAATTGAATGCTTCTAAGGATTATAGCATTTAAGTTGGGGTGGTCAGGCATTTTTTCATTAAATAGCTAATTGTATTAGGCAGTTTTTGGTGAATAACTACTGACTGATGTGTCAAATGGGTAATTTAGGAGTTAAGAAAATGGGACAGCTGGCCTAAGCAGCCAGGGAAGGAGTCATGAAGAGAAAGCAGTGGACTTGTTTTTGGAGGGGCTTGCTAGGGTTTATTGGGGAGAGAGGCTAGAGTAGGTTAGGTGCTGCGGAAGTGGAAGGCCCACACGTGTTCAGGGGAGAGTCAGGTAGGGGTTTTGATCGGAGTGCTGGCCTCACTGGAAGGAGAGTAAGGAGCGATTGGAAATATACTGAGATGAGATGTTTGTACAGTAGGAGACGAGCAGCCTGTGGTGATTGCGGCAGCAGTGTGTGGAGTGTCTGGGAAGGGCTGGAGGAGTAAGAACTGAGAGGCAGAGACTTAAATAGGAAACACTGCATGAGTTGAACTAAGTTGGTTGCTTTCAGAATGGACAGGAAGGGGCAAAGTAATGGAGCCGAGAAACAGTGATTGATGGTCTTGGAGACCAACTCTGTTGTGGATACAAAGGATAAAGGAATGTATCAGAAGACAGTCTGAAGTTTTAAATCTGGAGAGCAGTGAGAATAAAAAACTACAAACAAACAGAAAAGGCAGAAGGAATTATTGATTTTTTGGGAGGATGATTTAGGTTTCAAAATTTAGGGTTGATTTTATCAGTAAATACATGACTGTGTCAGTGAAAAATATGATTCCAAGTCAGCAACTGGAGCTTGAGAGAGAAATCAGGAATAAACTACATTATGATAAAGGAAATAATATACATGAAGACTGTTTTTTGAAGTTTAGAACCTAAAGACCAAAGGGAAACAAGATGATAGATAGAGTGGGGACCAAAGCAAGGTTTTTGTTGAGAAGGTAGAAATAGTGTATGTCTGTACATAGAAAGGGAGAAGCAGTGGCTAGGAATAGACTAATAATGTTGAGAGGTAACAGTTGAGGGGACTTTGTTGATGTGGAGAAAGAGCAGTGATCTTAAAATATTAGAGTTTTAAGGATGCTGGTTAGTTAGGTCCTGGTCAGTCAATATTTTACTACACACGGCCAATCATTGACTTCTAAGACAAGTAAACACTTCAAAAGAGTTACTTGGTTGGTTTAGTGTGTTTCATACTTTGGTAGAGATATTTCTCTGTCACATTGGTGTTAAAACCAGTGCATTTGTAGACATCTTTCTATGTTATATCAATTTGATATTCTGTTCTGGTTCACTAGCCTTCTTTAGATCACAGATTCCTACAGACTTTATTAGTATCAGTGTCACCTCTATAAATTCAGTCCCTCAGTTGAGTTAAAGTAGAGACCCAATTCAATAGTCATTCTGACTATTGGGCAGTTTGGGTGATGTATTAACAGAGATGATTATTTGTCATTATATTAACCTCATCATCATGTTGAGTAATATTCCAGTGGCCTCGTAAATAAATAAATAAAACATCGACCAATCTGTTAACATGTTTTATACTTTCCCAGTGAAATCTTTATTTTATAGAAAATGAAATATATAAAGTCCATTTACTGCCACTCACAGCCATTCTCATTGGCTGTTTTTATGCTTTTAGTGAGAATAGAGTGTCATGTGGGGAAGAGCATGAGCTCTGGAGCCAGTGAGGACAGATATGCTAATAATTGTAAGACCTTAGGCTTGTTTCATTTTTTTAATTAAGACTGCTTTCTTAGAGTAGTTTAAGTTTCACAGCAAAATTGAAGGGAATGTACGGAGATTTCCCA